GCATTGTAATCCACTTGGTCACTCAGTCATGGATTTAAAAGTAGCCATTCTTCCACAAAGGAATTTCACCATCCATTGACAGCGAGAGACTGCTCTACTGGAATTCATCTACAAATTTGATACTGTTACTCTGGGCTTGAATAAAAGACATTAACTGGTTGGTACATTACAAAGCCAATTTCTCCTGCCTTTTAACAGCTGCATTTTCACATCAAAAGCTATGAATGGGTCACATATAACCCTCTTAATTAGCTTCATTAACATGGGTCCTACAATTGATAGGTATTTCTTTTGCTGTTATATATATCTTGAATTCTGTTATTTCCACTACAACTCATCTGATGAAGTGGGTCTTACCCATGAAAGCTCATGATACTGTATATTTTTGTTAGTCTCTAAAGGTGCCACAGGACTACTCATTTTTAAAGTTACAGACTAACACAGCTACTCCTTGAGACTTTTTTATCATCAAAGGGTACGTCTAGACTACAGGCTTTTTTCGACAGAGGCTTTGTCAACAGATACTTTCGACAAAGCCTCTGTCGAAAAAGAGCATCTAGACTACAACCAGTACTGTCGACAAAGCAAGCCGCTTTTTCGACAGAGAGTACAGACACTCTCTTTCGAAAAAGCAGAGTTTGCATGCAATAGTGCCTTTTTTCAACAGAGTTCTATCGAGAAAAGGTGTCATTCCTCATAGAATGAGGTTTACTGCCGTCGACAAAACTGCCACGTTCTGTCGACTTCCTGTCAACAGAACGCGGCAGTAGTGTAGACGCAGGTATATTTTTGTCGACAAATGGACCAAACACATTTTCTGTGATTATTCCCCCCAAAATCCTGCACACCCTTTTTCTCTATTTTCCCTTCCCTTCCTTGTTTTGCTGTGCCTTTTACACTCTTTTCAATGGGACAACTAAACCTACATACATGTATAAGGGCCCACTCCCATGAAGATTTATGCAAGTGCTTAACTTTTACACGTTGTGCATAGTCTCAGAGCGGTCGCCATGTTAGTCTGCAATTTTAAAAACAAAGAGCATACCTGTAGCACCTTAGGCTTTGTCTATACTGCAGGGTTTTTGTGCAAGAAGCTCTTTGTGGAAGAGATCTTCCACCAAACCTTCTTGCACAAAAGTCCATCCACACCTCAAAAGCGCATGCAAAAGCATCCATACTGCATGGACACTCTTGTGCAAGAAAGTTCTGATTACCATTCACAGAATGGCCATTAGAGCACCTGTGCTTTTTCTGATAGGCTCTTTTTGAGCAAGAAACCTGTTGAGAGTCCACACATAACTTTTTGTGCAAGAACTCTGGGGGCTTGAGGGTAGGGGGTGTTGCGCAAAAATGCTCTTGAGGTGTGGACACTCTGTGGGTTTTTGTGCAAAAAACCTGTAGTATAGACATGAGCTTTCATGAGTAAAACCCACTTCAATGAGACTATTTGCAAGGCATGAAGTTCAGCACATGGGCAAGTTTTTGCAAGGCAGGGCCTCAATATTGGCATTATTAGAGATGCTATTTTTTACTGTAAAGCCTGCTTTGATTGCTCTTGGCAAGTCACTTAATTTTTTTGCACCACTAGCTATCAGTAAAATAGAGATATCTGCCTCAGCAAGATGATTTGAAATTTTGTTAATGAATGTTTGGAAAGTGCTTTATGATCCTTGTGTGAAAGGTGGTCTAGAAATGCTTCCAATTAATATTACATGGCACATCTTACATTTTAAATGAAATATGTTTCTTTTTAGCACCAGCTGAAGTATTTAACTTTTCAAAATATTGATTAAATGCTTTTCACAATAAAATGGAAACATTTTCACAAAAATTTGAAAATAAAAATCTTAAGATTTGTTTTAAATCCTGAAAAAAATATTTCTTTCCATGTCATATTTTGTATTTATTTTGAAGAACATTTTAGAATTATTGTCATGAATACATTTGGGGGAGAAGTTTCTTTAATTTTTGTTTGTTTGATTCATTTTGGTGCCTTGTCCTTGTTCTTACAATTACTTATGCATGTGCTTAACTGTACTACCCTTACTGGTGAAATTAAGCTCATGCATAAGTGGTAGCAGAACCAGGGCTTACAGAGCTGGTTCGCTTTTTTAAAAAAGTTCAGATTAAAAATTCTCACTATTTTTATCAAGCAGTTCCATTTCTTGTCTAACTTGTCCCTGATCCTACAAAACACTTAATGTACTTTAACAAATTCTGTAGACTTCAAGAGTGTGTCTAGACTGGCAAGATTTTGCACAAAAGCAGCTGCTTTTGTGCAAAATCTTGCCAGTCTAGACACACTCTTGAAGTCTACAGAATTTGTTAAAGTACATTAAGTGTTTTGTAGGATCAGGGACAAGTTAGACAAGAAATGGAACTGCTTGATAAAAATAGTGAGAATTTTTAATCTGAACTTTTTTAAAAAAGCGAACCAGCTCTGTAAGCCCTGGTTCTGCTACCACTTATGCATGAGCTTAATTTCACCAGTAAGGGTAGTACAGTTAAGCACATGCATAAGTAATTGTAAGAACAAGGACAAGGCACCAAAATGAATCAAACAAACAAAAATTAAAGAAACTTCTCCCCCAAATGTATTCATGACAATAATTCTAAAATGTTCTTCAAAATAAATACAAAATATGACATGGAAAGAAATATTTTTTTCAGGATTTAAAACAAATCTTAAGATTTTTATTTTCAAATTTTTGTGAAAATGTTTCCATTTTATTGTGAAAAGCATTTAATCAATATTTTGAAAAGTTAAATACTTCAGCTGGTGCTAAAAAGAAACATATTTCATTTAAAATGTAAGATGTGCCATGTAATATTAATTGGAAGCATTTCTAGAACTAGGCATATTCTTAAGGCAAACTATGTTCTTTAACACTTTGCTGAATTGAGGTCTTACTCATTGATTTATTGAGCTGTGTTCATTTACATTCCTTGCCCCCTGCATTTTTATCTCATGGGAAAGTTAAAAGCTGCTCCCCCAGCTGCCCCAAAAAGGGTTGTTAACCATAAGTATAGAACCTGAGACAGCTGGATCTTAAAGCATGAACATCTAACTGACTGAACTAAAAACCCCTCCTTTGCTAATCAATGCTAGAGCAAGCCCATCAACCTTTATCTATGGCCCAGCCACCACTAGATTGGGACACAGCAAGTGGATCTGGGTAACACAGGTGAGGATGTTTTACACTAGGATGATGCGTGTTTGAAGAGTGCTCCACATTCAAGTTCTTCTTACTCATTTTCCTGTGCTGGCATCCCGCTCTCTGAGGAGGAGTTGGCATTGTTCAAGCCATCTTCTGCCTGGGACCGCAGCTGTTTTTCCCGTTCCCTTCTACGCCGCTCTCTCGCTGCCTCCTCCTCATCCTCCACGCTCCACTGTGCTGTCAACCTGCCAGACAGAAGGAAAATGCAGTATTAATGCAAGCAGCCAGTTCTGAGACAAGCACAGAAAGGGAAGACTTCCTGGGCCCTCAGGATAAAACACGGCACTGAGGGGGGCCCAATCCAGAAGCTTCACTCCTGCCCAGGAGCACTGACTGACCCTAGCAGCATCCATGGATGCCAAGGAGACCACTGGTCTACGTGCTACACAACATGAGAAGGTAGGATTGCATAATCAAGCCTGGTCTGAGAGGACTGGCCTGCTTCTTAGGGAATGGATAACAGCGTCTGTGGTAGAGTTTTTCACGTATGAAGTGCCAATACATCCCATTCTTTCCAAGACAGTCTCATTTTCCAGTGGACTCTATCAACAACTTGAAACTAAAACAGGATAACTAGCTAATCCCATAAAGCTGGTCAAAATGTTTTCAGGAGAGCTGTTTTCCATCAAAAAATGCAGTTGTCAGAATCAAAATGTTTCACAGGAATGTCTCCATTTCAATGGGGGGGAGGGAGCCATAACAAATCCTTTCTTATTTTATTTCCGTAAGGTAAAAATGTCTCTTGTTGATGATCATTGCTAGTCATTCCATTTTGACACTTACATTTAATTACTGATTTACTTATTGATTTCACTATTACATTCTATTTAATTGTATTGATAATATTTAATATAATATGAAAGTCATCATTAAATACTTTGAAATGATCCCATCAGAAATAAATCCTTTTTACTTTAACAAATCATTTGAACAGTCCCACATTTTAATTTTTCCAATTTTTCATTTTGGGGGCAATTTCAATATTTCAGTTTTTATTTCCCATTTGGCATTTCCCCCTCCCTCCCCCTTCCCTCCTCTCCACTCCTTCTCCCGCACCACAGTCAAAACATTTTTTTGAATTTCCCATAGGAGAGAAAATCTAGTTTCTAATCATCTCTAGTATCCCACACTTTCCCTGTGTGTTCACCCAGCCTCAGCTGGCAGTGACTGAAAAGGGCATGTGAAAAGAGTGTATTGATCTCCACTCAGGGGGCAGCTATTTATATGACACTGATATCATGCCTCTTCTGGCAGTCACAACAACAAAAAAAGATCTACCATTGGATGGTCTGGGAAACTAAGTCAGCTTCTAACCCCTAGGTCAGAGTTGAAGCCCGGGAGAAGTTTGCTGTGTAACTGTTCTGCACAAAATGGTCCTGATTCAGAAAAGGAGTTAAGCATGTGCACTCGAAAGGGATTTCAGCACATGCTTACAAGTGATGCAGAGCAGGCATTCATCCCAGAATCAGGGCCAAAGGAGGGATTTCAGCTCTCAGTACTGTTAGTTCTGCCTCCTGCAGTAACATTAAAATAACTTTAAAAGAATGAAAACATTACCTATTTCAAAAAATCAGCTCCCAGCAATCCCAGGCCCTAAGGCTGAGGGGTTGCCCAGCACTGTGAGAAATCCAAATCCAAGTTTGTGTGGCCCTGCACCCCCAGGGAGCAAGTGCTACATGAGCAGACCTTGACATGTTTTCTTAATCAGCTGAGTGGTTATATTTTAATCAGAATTCCTGCGCCAAGCTGCTCTCTTGCTACAATGGTGCAGGGAATGTCGGAGGAGGGTACCCAGCGCTATCGCTCAGCAGGGCTCCTGCTGTGCTCTGAGCTGTTTCCTTCCTCCCTTGCACAGAAGAAAATCCTGGCTTGGCCTCTCCCAGAATGTCCCAGCCTCCAGATAATAAACGCTCTGTCAGCAGAGCGACCTCTCGGATCCCAGAGGAAACGATAAGGCCGCGGCAACATTCCGACGCCGACGATAACACGAGTTCTCGGGGGGGAGGGGGGGAACCGCTCCTCTCCTTCTCGCCTCTTTCAGCACCATGCCTATCTGGGTGTGAGAGGGACACGTCTGGGAGCCGCGCTGCCCTTTCTACGCTTCAGTGACCCAACCAGTCCAACGTCAGCACCAGCCCTGCACTGCCAGACTCCTGCTTTCCTAAGTCCCAGACTACAGCTGTAATAGGCCTGAGTTATTCATGGCCTGTCTCAGCAGGGCTCCCACTGGGTCCTGCTCCTTTTGCTTTATTGTAGTGGTGAAACTGTCTGACTCCATGCAGCCAGGTCCTGCCAATGAGCACTCCAGCGAGCACGAGGGCAGGGCTGGCCCACAACATTTTGGCACCTGAGGTGGGGGGCTCAAATGACGCCCCCAGCAGCAGACTCTGTTTTCTACACTTTGGATCCTAGTGGCACCCCCTACAGTCTGGTACATGAGGCGGCTGCCTCAGTTCACCTCATGGTAAGGCCAGCCCTGCACGAGGGCCCCAAACTGAGAGCGGTTTTGAAGGGGAAAGATGTTCTTGCAAACACCTTGCAGCAAAGCATTAGTGTTTGAACAAAGAGCAAGGGCCTTTGCTGTGTTTATGATTCGCAGTGACAGTAACACCCAGAGGCTCCATGTCCAAGGCCTCTTTGTGCCAGGCGCTGTAGTATATACAAGAGCTGGAGTACATGTGGCGCTGCACCCGTTTAACTCAAGGTGTAATTTGAGAGTGACAGAAGCTAGGTCTTTTATAGTTTTTTTTTTTTTCTGAAAAAGCTATGCAAATTGTACTGTGCACTTTGCGTGGCTTTTTCTGATTGCTTTTCTGAGAGAGGCTTTTCCACCATTTGGCCCCTTCTAGACAGGGCCAAATGGTGGAAAAGCCTCCTCTTTTGGAGGAGCCATTATTCCTCATAGAAGGAGGCATACAGAGCTCCCCGAAAGAGTGCGTTTGCTCTTCTACAAAAAACAGGGGAAGAGCAAATGTGTTCCCTGGACGCGGCGGAGTTTCCTGGAAAAACCCCACGGTCTAGATGTTCCCTAAGTGAAACTTGTGCAAAAGGCCACATGAATATACTTCTTTCGGTTTCAACGAGGCTCATTTTCAAAATATTGACTTTAAACCAGTTAAGGACAGATTTAAGCAAAACCTGTATAAACTGATCAGACCGGAATGAAAGTGTTCCCCCAGTGGTTTGCACCTTCTTAACGAACCTGGTGCAAAAAGGTGTGTAGGCAGCATTGTAGTGAAAGATGGCCCCTTGCCCAAAATGCCTATAATCTAAACAGACGAGAGAAAATGTGTGTTGGGAAACTGAGGGTACGTCTAGACTACATGCCTCTGAAGACAGAGGCATGTAGATTAGACTACCCGGCATAGGAAAATGAAGCATAAATTTAAATTTAAGGCATACTTGGGAGGCATACCTGGAAGGTCGACAAATGCCTTTGATGTTGACCGCGGAGCATCCAGGCTACCACGCTGAGCCGACAAACAGCTGATCGGCTCAGCGCGGCAGCCATTTAAATTATTTAAATTGCCACTTCATTTTCCTATGTCGGGTAGCCTAATCTATATGCCTCTGTTGTCAGAGGCATGTAGTCTAGACGTACCCTGAGGCACAATAACTTACCTAAGGATACACAACAGGTGAATGGCAGAATTGGAAAGAGCGTACAGGTCTCCTGACTCTCAGTCTAGTGCCTTCCCTTCTAGGCCACACAGCCTCAGAGTGATTATTGCAACGTGCTTCTGCGGGCAGCTGTCAAGAGTCATCACTCAAGTGTCTCAAGCCAGCCACCCAAAATCACCTGTTATCAGCCTTGGCCAGTGTATTTGTTTTCCCACCGGCTACGTCTAGACTGGCATGATTTTCCGCAAATGCTTTTAACTGAAAAGTTTTCTGTTAAAAGCATTTGCGGAAAAGAGCATCTAGATTGGCACGGACACTTTTCCGCAAAAGCACTTTTTGCAGAAAAGCGTCCGTGCCAATCTAGACGCGCTTTTGCGCAAAAAAGCCCTGATTGCCATTTTAGCCATCGGGGCTTTTTTGTGCAAAACAGTATTGTGCTGTCTACACTGGCCCTCTTGCACAAATGATTTGTATAAGAGGGCTTTTGCCCGAACGGGAGCAGCATAGTATTTCCACAAGAACACTGACAATCTTACATGAGATCGCCAGTGTTCTTGCGGAAATTCAAGTGGCCAGTGTAGACAGCTGGCAAGTTTTTCCAGAAAAGCGGCTGATTTTCCAGAAAAACTGGCCAGTCTAGACACAGCCACCCTGTTTTGTGTGTTCTAGACAACAACATGTCTGAACCCACCACCTTTCCCAACCCCGTGTGGCACTCCCGCACGTGGCAAGCATGCTAAAAAAGCCTCGGAGGAGCTGATGAGGAGGCCTGAAAGAACATGAGAGTGTCTTTCCCACTTATTAGCAGGGTATAGCAAAGTTACAGTGCACAGACCAGCCCTGATTTCTTGTCTCTCACACCAGGAAAGAGCTTCTCTTGCCAGTCATGAGCCAGAACCACCACTACCGGAATGGACACTGCATTTTTAAAAATTATATTATGTGAATTAAATTACACCCCCCTCCCACTTTACCCATTCTGTCTTCTTCCACTCCACTCTTTGCACACAGGAACAGCGAGCATGAAGCCACCAGAAACAAGATCCAAGCAAACCCCCTCCTTTATTCACTCCACACTCATATTTACTGTTTTCTCCATAGTTCCCATAGAAACAGTTGTCTGTGGTCCTGGCCTGAAGCCAAGGCGTGTTTTTTTTTTCTTTTTTTTGCAGGAGGGTGGGGGAGAGGTGTTAAAATATATAAATGAAGTCATTCATTAAGCTCCGCCTCAACCTTACTTCTCTATGTGACAGAACTTGATAGAGTCTTTGATTCAGAAAGGCTCTTTACCCTGTCTGTCCTGGACTCCCCCAGTCATAAGGAGCAAAAGCTACATTTTTGCCAGAGTGAGTGGATTTTTACAGTTCCCCTGGAATTCCCAAGGGGACGGCAGTGGGAAAGAATTATAACTACCCCCTAGACAGAGGTTAGCTGGAGTCTCCCAGGACGACCCTAGAGGGACTCTAGAAGAAACTGTGTGACAGTCTTTTACATTATCAAAAGACCTTGGCTGGCAGCCCTCTCTGTTTCCCAGTTGGATGTGACTAATCCTCTCTCCATGACC